CTCAGTCTAAGGGATCCGGAAACAATATATTTTCATATTTGTGGATATTTTCAATCTGGAGACCTATGTTTCCTCACCAGACGCATCTACAGGAGATCGTTACTAGATATTTGGATAATTCAATGAGAAGTTTCACCTCTTGTAGCTTGATATGATGCAACCAACAACCATTATCAGTTGATGGTTGACAACACAATAAGGGAAAATTAGAACACCATTCTTGGGGAAAATGAAGTTGGAAGAAAGAACCATGAGGTGCTTCCAAGCTTATCTTCTAGTTATTTGACAAAAGCCCGGTGATAGGCCCCCTGAAGATAACCGAAGTTGTTGGGCAAGGCCTATTACCTGGGTATGGTTTTAGAGGGAAAAGATCATAAGGATGTGAAGCACAGAATACTTAAAATGTCTTATATACTAACTTTTATACTTCAACAGGCGCTTGTGAAAGATATGAAGGGATCGTTGCTTAATGGAATGGATAAGTTATTAAATCTCGGAATGAAGGTTCAGACTATTGCAGCTTGGGGATGGTTCATCCGGATACTAGGATCTCATTCCATGAAGAACAGAAATTTAGTAAATAAAATGCTTAAAATTCCAGAGCGGACATTTTCAGATCACGACCCTCAAGTTCAGATTGCCTCACAGGTACTTCATACTGTATCTCTCTTCATATGCGACTCATCAACCTTCATAATATAGGGCTATTATAAACTTTGCCTTAAGTTTCAAGTTGGTCTGAATTGCATATTTTATGGCATGCTCTCGGAAGTAAAAAACAAGAAGTTAATGACATGCAAATATAATCTACAATTGCAAGCCTTCCAGTTCAAAGTAAAACATGGGAGATTGTATAGGATTCGGTTAAACAGGATAATCATCCTTGTATCAGTTGGGCTTCTCTGAAAAACTTAGGCTGAAAACTTGAGACTACAAGTTTGAGTGACACATAAATCATTGGAGAATCGTGATTATATTAGCTGTTCTTATTAAAAAGAAGATTTTGGTGCTTGATGAAAGTTATGTTATTAATATATTTGAATTTCGTTCTTGTAAAAATTTTGATGTCTTGACCTTGCAGGTTGCATGGGAAGGCTTAATTGATGCTCTTGTTCACAGTCCAACTCTCCGGTGTGAGATTAATGTGGTCAAGGGAGAGGAAAATAATCAAACGGTGCAAATATTAAATGGGAATGATTGTGAAATCCAGGCAAATGCAAAAAGTATAAAGCTGATCATGGTGCCTTTGGTCGGTGTCATGCAGAGTAAATGTGACATGTCTGTTCGCTTGTCATGTTTGAACACATGGAATTATCTGCTCTATAAACTTGACTCATTTGTTAACAGTCCATGCATGATAAAACTGGTATTAGAGCCTATTCTCGAGGCAATTTTCCGGCTTATTCCAGATAATGAAAATATCAGGTTGTGGAGTATGTGCTTAAGTTTGTTGGATGATTTTCTGTTGGCAAAGTGTTCACACATGGATAATGATTTAACTGTCCAGTTATGCTACAAATCAGAAGCGATACTGTCCGAGATTGAATACCAAGAAACTGGTAAAAGGTTTTGGAAGCAGTTTCCTATAAAGTGGTTGCCATGGAATCTAAATCAGCTGGCCTTTCATTTAAAGATGATTTGTGTTATCTCAACTTCAGCATCAATGGAGACCTTCAGCAATGAGAATAGGACTTTCGCATATGATACTTGCCAAAGGTTATTTAAATCTGTCTTAAAAGGAGTCCAATTAGAGCTCAAAAAGCCGTCTGCGAATTATGATGATGTTATGCTTGGTTTGAGGGAAATTTTAAGATTTTTAAGATATCTGTCTGATAATCTAAGTGGCGATGGCTATATTCACCATCATTTGCATTATGCTATCCTCCACTTTATTCGGGCTGTCACCAAGGAGTTAGAACCTGCTATACTAGGATCCCCTCTTTATGAGGTTGAATTAGACTTCAAGGAAATGGATGGAGTCCAAGCAGTCAATCACATCAGCTATGCACAAGTTCTTGGTGTACCGTCTATATCTTACATGGATAAGGTATCTCCTATAGTTTATTTAATTGTAATGTACAGTTCAGTGGCAGTTCAGTCTACTTCGACAATGTGCCTTACGGATTGTATCCTAAAAGAAATGCACGAATATTTCAAACTTGTATTTTCTTCGTTCATACCTCCAGATAGTCTTCTTGCAGCTATTTTAATTTTGAATAAAAACATTGTGCCCACTAGCCTGAGGATATGGATAGCAATAGCAAAAGGTTTGATGGAGAGCAGCAATATGAGGAATAATATCCCGTTGAAAACAAAGTCAGAAACTGAAGGGGTGAATACCATATGCTATCTCCTCTCTTACCCTTTTGTTGTATGCTCTTCCAAAATATTGTGTGGCTCCACACTGGAGAATCTTGAGCTTGAATCTGTTGTCCAAGTTTGGAAGTCGCTTTATAGTTCTGTTAACACATTGCAGCTTGACAATTCCACGAGTATCAGTTTCAATGAGGGTTTGGCTTCTATGTTAAGCAGATGCCTCAATGATCAAAGCATGCCTGGGTGTGGGAGTGAATCTTGTTCAAGTTGTGAAGGTTTTAGTGCTGATTTTCTCTCGATATTTGTTGACATTGTCATAAACATCTTGAAAGGGCTTCAAAATTCCGAAAGAAGATCAAATAGAATTATGAGAGAGGACAGTAACTGTGAAAAATCCTGCTTCAACAGTTTTAGCTTGAGATTGGCCGCCAGGTAAATGCAAACATTACTCGGTTGCTTATAATGAAAGACCAATACCAAGCCGTCATGTACTTGTTTGATTTTATTAGAATAAAAATGCCTCTTATAAGTGAATTTATGGTGATGATTTCTTAGGTAGACTTCGGTTAATCGTGCCCTTAATTTCATGATACACGCAACACACACACAATGTTCATCGTAGACTAAATCAAGTGGTTAACTTTACCTTTTCCATTTCTTATAATTTTGAAATAGATACCGATTTGGATTTCATTTATTCAGCTGAAAGGCTGCGTTTCTAAGAATTACGAGAGTTAAAAATGAAAACTCTAGTTCCTATGAAACCTTTGCTTATGGAAGCTTACAAAACTAATCTTCTGGAATATATGTGTATTTTTTGGGAGAGGTTAATGTGGCACCTCTAGAAAACGCCATATAAATCACAATTAATGTTTCAAGCCATATTAATCTGTTCTGTCTCTGCATGGTGTCTATCCTTAACTCTTCTTAACTCTTCAGTTTCATGTTCCTGGTACAGATTTATTGAACTATTACGGATAAAGCGAGGAAAAAATTCATCACATTGGCTTTCCAGGTATTTTGGAACAATTATTGCAATAATCTGCTTGTGCAAGTTATTCCTCTTCGCATTTTACTTGCGTTAACATCTCACCCTAGTAAGGATGTTGCAGAGTATTTTCAGCATTGGCTCAATTCGTCAGCTGCCTTCACTTGAAACAAGATATATTTGGGTTCATAGAGGTACTTTAATCTATTTTCATCCATCTGATCCAAACACATTGCAAAACACGCGTGATTTATTTGCATACCACACGAACATCATGGCTATGTCAGTCATTGGGATCATGCATTTAGTTGAGACATATGACAGGAGTGTAGGATTAGGACAACCTGTTTTCATATTCTCTTATGATCGTGGTGGTGATTATGATCCTGAAATGTTCATTTTTTGAAACTACTTCATTGCAATAAATTTCACTGTCGACGTATCATCTTGATATGGGTGAACTCTGCTCAAGAATGCACGACTTGAATAACTGGTTTCTCGTTTTTTTTCCGATTGGTGATCATGATCCTGGAGTTTTCTTCTTTACGCCTTGGAGTTTGAAACTGTTGTACTTAGTCTCTTTACTGACATTATTTAACACTTGCCTTTGATTACCAGATTATATCCTCTCCATTGCTTTTGTGGTTGACCAAAATGGAGACATTGGAAGAAGGCATTAACAGCCAACTTCAAATCCTGTGGGCTGAAATCATTAGTCATTTGCAAAGGGGCTGCCCTTCATTAGTCTTCGACTCTGCCTTTCTGAAGCTGTTGGCACCTCTACTCGAAAAAACTCTTGACCACCCAAATTCCTCAATTTCAGAGCCAACCATTACTTTCTGGAATTCCTCATTCGGTGAACATTTAGTTGCACGCTACCCACAAAACCTGCTTCCTATTCTGCACAAGCTATCAAGAAATGGAAGAATAAAACTCCAGAAGAGATGCTTGTGGATGGTTGATCAATGCCCTGCAAGACAAGAAGATGCCAACCCTCCCTTCAGCCACAGAGTGAGTGCAACATCCATCAGGAGCTCAAAAAGAATAGAGTTAATGACAACTACTAATCAGGACAAGCACAAGGAGGACATCCCTACTTCCAATTCAAAAAGGAAGAAGATGGAATTAACTCAGCATCAGAAGGAAGTAAGACGAGCTCAACAAGGTCGGGCACGGGATTGCGGTGGACACGGCCCGGGCATTCAAACTTACACAAGCCTTGATTTCTCACAAGTAGTTAATGATTCTGGGGAGAGCCAGGACACCCAGATTATATAGACTCCATAAGCTCACACAACTGAGCCATGTTGTAAATAGATTGCCTTTTGCTCAGTTCTCATTCGCCTTGTATAATGGCTGCCATAATTATCTCAGCCTTTTCTGGCATGCATGTTTGTATTTGACCCCCACATTCTGCTATTTTTCGTTTTTTTGGCAGATAAATGTACAGAACAAAATTAATTTTTTAATTAATTAGTTTGGTAACGAATCTTAATTTATTAATTAATCTACCTTGAGAATTAAATTTAAAAGGCCATTTATTAGATTAGACATTTTAAATTAGTGGATAATTTTGTGAATGCATTAAAATAATAATAATAATAATATGGAAGGGGGCGCGAGTAGTTCGAGTCAAACTGCTTTCTCAATTTAGTTGACCATTTGACTTTAGTTTTTATTTAAGCTTACTCTCTCTGTCTCTCTCTCTCCTCCTTCCTTCCCTCCTTCGAAATAGACGCATTTCAGCTAAAACAGAAGAAACCAGGTGTCCTCCTTCACAATTAACCCAGACTTTAGGGTTTCAAAACCTACAACTTCCATTGATTTCCAGAATTTTTTTCCATTTCGTAGTTCATAATCTCTCGATTTTCTTCTATCGCATTGAGAATTTTGAACTTGGAAATTTTAGGGCTTCTTTCGCCTCCCTTTATCCGTCACCTCATTTCCTTTTTTGCAACCTGGCCCTTGATTTTGTTTCTTTTATTTGGATCCATTAATGGACGCTCGAGATTCATCTTCGTCGGCAGCTGAGGACGATGGAGCTCTATCCGTCACTGCCGCTCTTGCCAAGGATGCTGCATCGCTTTTCCAATCGGGCAAGTATGCTAGGTGTGTAGAGGTTTTGAATCAGCTGTTGCAGAAGAAAGAAGACGATCTTAAGGTTTGATTTCTTGCACCATAATCTAATTTTGTTTGATTGTTTATTTATTTATTTTGCTGAGGATTTCGTTAATTCCTTGTGTATGTGTGCGGATGCGGTTTAGTCTTTTGAATTCAATGATGCGAAATGTTGAGCTCAGAAATAATATGGGGCGCTTTTTTCCCCTTGTTTTCCTCCTTAGCGATTATCGAGTTTTTGAATTATTTGAGGACAACATACTAGAACCACGTGCAATTCCATTGTAACGTTTAACGACGCCTAGGCTATGCTGAGAGGAAATGAAAATAGGGGGTAATTTTTATCATTTTCCTTGGGTTTTATGATAATTAGCAAGATTTTAGGCTCGGGTGGTAGCATTTCTGTTCATACACTATTTAATTTCTGTTTATCATTGGTCAATTTGAATGTTGATCCTTCTAGTCATAGAATCGTTACCTAAACCTCTGATGTGAAGGAATTTTCCCAAGTAACTGATGGCCCTGGAAAATATTTGGAACAAGCAATTGTGATCAACTCCGCTAAAGGCTCCATAATCATTTAAGGAAGATTGGTTTTACAAAATACCGTGTCTGCCCCTACTCATTCCCATCCCCAAATTCTATTCTTACAATATCCTGAGCTTTTCATTTTTGAAGTATGAAGAGAAATCCAGAGTAGAAAAAAAAAATGTAATCATGACCCTGCCAAGTGCTAATGGCAGTGAGAATTTTGTTGTTTTCGTTAGTCTTTCCAGTGTCCATTCAATATAACTGTGATCAGATGTACATTGTTGGCAAAAAGAGCGTCGAGTGACTTGGAATCTTGTTGGTGTAAATTATATTCCACTTTTTTTTTTTTTTTTTTTTTAAAAAAAAAAATTCATTTTAGCAATAGGTTAATCTACAACTTTGCCCTGATCCTTCCTCAAATTATACCTGGTTGCATATTTAGAGAGTGGCTTCAGATCCAGAATGAATTATGATATATGTTATGGTGACTCTTTTATTATTGTTTTTGTTGGGCTGAGGGTAAGGTTTGAGATGAGGTTGCCTAGATACCTCTACCATACTTCTCTTTTGAGTTATTTAACCACATATATTTTGGGCAACAAAATCATTAGTTTTCACATTAATCAATTGGCACTATTACAAGTATTTTGTTTCAAGTTTTTAACTTGACACATTCTGATGCTCTTGATATACATTTGTTTGGATTCTTAGTGACTGGTGATTTTCTATGTCGATTTTGACTTCAATCCAATCTTTAGGACTGCATCTTTTATAAGGAGCTTAAGGATATCTTGGTGTCAATGATTTGTTGTTACTAAACTAGTTGGTTACATTGGGTTTGGCTGCCTATCTATTTTAATCTTGATGCTTCATTTGGCACTTATTTGAAAAAACAAACTGTTAGCACTTCATATATAGATGTCTTTCTCAGGTGCTTCATAATATTGCCATCGCCGAATACTTGAGAGATGGTTGTTCCAATCCGAAGAAGTTGCTTGAAGTATTAAACAATGTCAAGGTATGCCGTTAGCTCCAAAATGTTCATGTGTACTTTGTGTTCCTGTTTATTTTAACTGCCACAGTATTTATGTCCCTGGTAATATTTTATTATTTTCCTTAAGAACTGTTTGTTAATCACCTCAATCATTGATTTGGCATAGGCCTCATTATACATTTTTCTTATTTTTAGACGCCTTGTTCAACTACAATAAAAAATCTGTTCTTAAATTGATGATATTACCAACCTCTTCACTATATGCAGGAGTCTTTTTTGTTTGTTTCATCAATGTAAAATCTTGGTTAAAATACTATTTTGGCTTTGTAGCTTGGGTTTCTTTCCATTTTACTCTCAAATATCCAACTTAGTCCATGTACTTCCAAATCTTAATTGTAGTCTTTGTTAGTAGTTAATGTTGATTTCTTTTTAAAAAATTATTCTTTATTGGCATTCCCTTTATAAATTTTGGAAATATATTTTTAGTGTCTTTTCTTGCTGAAAATTATTATATAATCAATTTCGATAAAAATAACTTTGAAGGACTAAATATAAGATTATAATATGTATGGGAAACCAAAATGATATTTTAATATAAAATATATATATATATATTTTTTTTCTTAAGGTAACTTATAAACTTTTTACTGCACATCTTACAATTTAAGTGAGAAACTTTGAAGGAAAGATAATACTTGCTTTATCTAAAATCTGGTTTAGTGGAGATCACAATAAGCTTTTTCATGTTTTATCATGCAACTAAAATTCAAGGATTTGACTTAAATAATTAAATAATTGAAGAACTCATGTTTGAGTGAAACTTTATGATTTTTGTTTAATTATAGATCTGAGTTAGAGGGGTAAAATGTAGTTTCCTTGGGTTTATTTGATCGTTCTTTAAAGAATGTTAGTAACTTGGAGACATGACATGAGGAGGAAGTGGATAACATTATAACGATTGTGTGCTTGCATTACACCGTTGTGTGGTACACTAGTTGGGATGCATGCATTACAGTCTTTAATTTCTAAGATTAATAAAGCAAAAGTCAATGGCAAAATCTAAACTTGTGCTGGAAAAATGTAGAATATAAATTGAATACGAGGACAATGTTTTGGTGGATTTTGTGGCATGCTAGTTTCTTGGCCATCCTGTGGGGCCTATGGACTGGGAGGATCAAGTTTTGGAATTGGGAATCACTTCAGCCTATAGTTCTTTGAGTGAAACTTTGAATAGAGAGAACGCCATAATACTTCCCCCTCTTCCATATTCACTTTCTTGTTATTTTCGGCCATTGCATAATGTGCATATACTCATCTTTCTGCTAATTCTTGTGTGGATGCGCTTGTTCAGAAGAGAACTGAGAACCTTGCAGTTTCATCTGGAGAACAAACAGATGCTCTTAACCCTGAAAATAAGAGTACTTCGGGTAAAGGAAATAATGTATCTGCTCATCAGACTGCTGCAAACAATGCTAATATCGTATACATGGATGAGTTTGATGCCTCCATTGCTACCCTAAACATTGTAAGTTAAATGCAATAGGGAAGAGAAACTAATTATTTGAAGAATATTTTTATCATTGATCTGATCGTGACAATTTAAAATGTCTATTTACAGGCTATCGTATGGTTCAATCTTCATGAATATACAAAGGCATTAGCAGTTCTTGTACCTTTATATCAAAATATTGAACCCATTGATGAGGTACTGAAGTTTATTCATTATATTAGTGATTGGAGTTTTCCTTTAATTATGCTATTGATATGCAGACAACGGCTCTTCATATCTGCTTTTTGCTGCTGGATGTTGGATTAGCCTGCCGCGATGCATCATTATCTGCAGTAAGTAGCCTTGTTAGAGTTTTGCCTATCGTTTGCTGACTTTAAATTTCAGTAGTCTTGTACTGTCAAGTTTTAATATGTTGCTAGCACTTGTTATCTGTCCTATAATTTAGAAGGATTACATGTTTTCATGTTTGTTTAGCTTTATCAAATTTATATAGGAAATCTTTTAAGTAATATAGTTACAAACGGTCCAAAGCCCACCACTAGTAGATATTGTACTCTTTGAGCTTTCCCTCAAAATTTTTAAAATGCGTGTGCTAGGGAGAGGTTTCCACACTCTTATAAAGAATGTTTCATTCTCCTTTCTAACCGAGGTGGGATCTCACAATCCACCCCCTTTCGAGACCCAACGTTTTTGCTAGCCCTCATTCACTTCTCCAATCAATATGGGTCTCCCCAATCCACCCCCCTTCGGAGGCCAGGGTCTTTGCTGGCACACCGCTTTGTATCCACCCCCTTTGGGGCTCAACCTTCTGACTGACAAATCGCCCGGTGTTTGGCTTTGATACTATTCGTAATGGCCCAAGCCCTCTGCTAGCCGATATTGTCCTCTTTGGACTTTCCCTTTCGAGCTTTCTCTCAACAATTTTAAAATGCGTCTGCTAGGGAGAGGTTTTCATACTGAATGCTTCGTTCTCCTCCCCAACTGACGTGGGATCTCACAAGTTAGATTTATCCCTTTGCCAGGGAAGCTATGTTGCTGTTGTTTCTGTGTATAATATGTCATGTGCTCTCTCTTCACCGTGTTTTCAGGAATTAGTGCCGTCTGTTCTTTCCGTGCATATTTTCTCTTATGTTTTTTTACACTTTTTTCTTCAGTGGAACTGAAATCTGCTGACAAATGCATGAATGATGATGTATTGAAAATGGTTTTCTCATGTATTTTTTTTTTTCTGTCAGGATGTTCTACTTTATCTGGAAAAAGCTTTTGGGGTTACTAGTATAAGCCAAAGTGAAAATGGAAGTACAGGGGGACAACAATCCACAAACGTGGTGGCAAAATCTTCGTCTGTTCCTACCAATACTTCTGCCTTTGAATCTTCCAATTCAGATTTAGCTGCAAGTGTCAATGCCTCGGAAAATTCTCTATCGAGGACTTTGTCAGATGAGACATTTGAGTACGAGTCCATGTTATCGACGTTGGATATTGGTGGACAAAATCCAGCAACACAGACTGGTTTTTCATCTTCAAATGTTCTTTTAAGGATCCCAGCTGATCGGTCTCTATCTACTGTTGATTTCAAGCTTAAATTGCAACTATACAAGGTTCGCTTTCTTCTTCTCACTAGAAATTTAAAGCAAGCAAAGCGTGAAGCAAAGCACGCCATGAACATCGCTCGTGGGATAGATTCATCCATGGCTCTTCTCCTAAAGGCTGAACTTGAATATGCCCGTGGCAACCATCGTAAGGCCATGAAGCTACTTCTGGCATCGAGTAACCGAACAGACATGGGGATTTCAAGCATGCTAAACAACAACCTTGGCTGCATATATAATCAACTTGGGAAGTATCATACATCAACAGTATTCTTTTCCAAAGCTGCGTCTAATAGTTCAGCTCTCTGGAAGGATAGAAAACAGACAACTTTTTCACAAGACAACTCTCTTCTTATCGTCTATAATTGTGGTGTTCAGTACTTGGCTTGTGGGAAACCATTCCTTGCTGCTCGATGCTTTCAAAAAGCCAGTTTGATTTTCTACAACCGCCCTCTGTTGTGGCTCCGACTTGCCGAATGCTGCTTAATGGCTTCAGAGAAGGGGCTTCTGAAGAACAACAACCTTGCTGATTCCGATAGATTGGATATCAAGGTTCACGTTGTTGGAATGGGAAGATGGAGGCAGCTTGTATTGGAAGATAAAACTTCGAAGAATGGATGTGCATATTCCTCTGGTAGAGAAGACGAGCATTTCAGCATCGAAGGACAACCTAAGCTGTCGATTACTCTTGCTCGGCAATGTCTGTCTAATGCCCTGTACTTGTTAAACCGTTCCGAGACCAGCTTTTCGCATTCTTTATTGGCCTCTAATTCTACCTTGGAGGAGAGAGATCCAACTGAAGTGGCAGCTTCCAGGAGATATTATAAGAACTTGCATTGTATTGATTCCAAGGCCTCTGCCTCAACTCTAGGCTCAAGTCAGATAAATGCAAATGGTGATACAAAAGAACAAAAAGGTGCTACAATTCAGGAACTTGTGCAAAACTCCCTCTCCTATTATGAGGATATTTCTCGGAGAGAAAACCTGTTGATTAAGCAAGCACTTCTTGCCGACCTGGCTTATGTGGAGTTGAAACTGGGGAACCCGTTGAGAGCCCTAACAATTGCAAGGTCTCTTATGGAGCTTCCAGGATGTTATAAAGTTTATACATTCTTAGGCCATGTTTATGCTGCAGAGGCCCTTTGCTTACTAAATAGACCAAAAGAAGCTACCGAGTATTTATTGTACTATTTATCCGGAGGAACTGATTTCAAACTGCCATTCGGTCAGGAGAACTGTGAGCTATGGCGAATCGACGGCGTTACTGATATCGAAGGGGTAAATGGAGGTTCGACAACAGCGGCTAATACTTCATCCCGGGAGGAACTTCATGGTTTCAAGTTCCTCAGACCAGAGGAAGCACGGGGAGTCCTCTTTGCAAATTTTGCCACTGTTTTGGCCTTACAAGGAGATCTTGAACAGGCCCAACAGTTTATCTCGGAAGCGCTATCGATCATACCGAACAGTCCAGAAGCCACTTTGACTGCAGTTTATATCGATCTTGCTATCGGTAAGTCGCAAGAAGCTTTTGCCAAATTGAAACAGTGTAGTTGTGTAAGGTTCCTCCCCAGTGGATTGACAATGAAAAGATCTTCGTGATTGTTATAAGTATAACTGGTGGCTTTGTATTAATGTCCTGCCCTCATGTTAGTACTACTCAACGGGGCTACTCGGCTATATATAGCAATCTTTAGGAGGATCTTATAACATAGCTCACGTCAGAAAATAAAAATTGATGTTCATTTTTTTTTTCATCTCTAGGGTTCATTAGTAGTTGTGTATCTTTTTTTTGGGTTGGGTTGGGTTGGGTTAGCGGAGATGCTATCCTATTGTTACAATGAACGTTGATAGAGCTTTTTTGAGAAAGAAATTAAAAAAAAAAAAATATTGTTCTCTCTTGTAATGACATGAAAGACTATAATTTTGTATGGCTAAAGTTCAAATCTCTTATCGGCAGATATTGTCTATTTTCACACATTATGTATTGCTGTCAGTTTCACTGTTTTAAAACGTGTCTACTAGATAGGAGTTTTCTCGTACTAATGTTGTGTTCTCCTTTTCAATCGAGGTAGAATCTCACAATTCACCCCTTGGGAGTTAGCGTTCTCGTTGGCACACCACTCGGTGTCTGGCTATGATATCATTTGTAAAAGCTCTAGAAAAATTTCCGGATTAAAACCTTACTTTCCTTCGGTCTCTTTACTTAGACTTCGGCGAAGGGGAGGACGAAATTATCCGAACCTTTGTTTTTTAGTTAGGTTTAAGTTTGACGAGAATAATATTCTACAACGAGCAATTCATTTAGTTTCAAACTGACTCATGCTATAAATATTGTCTATTTTAGCTTATAACGTATCGTTGTCAGTCTCAGAATTTTAAAACGCATGTACGAAGTTTCTACACATTCATAAGAAAGGTTTCATTCATCTCTTCAATCAACGTGGGATAAAATTACGTTTATCACGATTAACAATTGAAAATCAATTTAATCGTTGATTTTGCACATTTAAATACGATTATGATATGATCCAGTTTGGATCCATTTTTAATGATTAAAAACATGTATTAAAGCGATATCCGGTGAATTCAATCTCCATTCTTATGCCACCTTACATTGGAGAAGCACTTATCTTATCTAACTTTAAACGCTTGAAATATCTCTGGTTATGTGTGTTGGGATGAGAAGGTTCCCCAAATTATTGGGTACACAAACAACCATCTCTGTAATCCTTAAGAAACTAATGGACAAACACCATACATTTCCATTGAACTAAGAGACAAACTCCCCTCCATGTGCCCTCTTTCTCATTGGTTTCTCTAATTTCTTCCCTTATCCCTAACACTTTCTAGCAGAGGTTATAAATTCTCGTGATTTTATTTTTTATTTTATTTTAAAAGTCTTATTAAGAGATAAGTGTTCTCACTTATATTTCATGGATCTCTTTTTTAACGTTTGTAAGTAGAGAACGAACCTGTTAGATCTTTAGTTAAGTTGTTTTTATTTATAATCTCTCATGGAAGACATCGGATCCTAATTTGCCACCAAAAATTAAAAAAGAAAAAATCCATAAATTTTGAACTATTTTAAAAAAATTAATGAATAACTGGGTATGGGTATGGGTAAGGGTAAGCTTGAGTTATTACAAAAAGTATTATTAAAATTTTTAAAAATGTAAATGTGTTTTTTTTAAGATAAAAAAAGAAAAAAAGAAAAAAGCGGGGCAATTCTAAATTGAAACATTTTAATTCAATAAAATCTTGGTCCATCATTCGAAACGTGCTGGGAGACATAAAGACAAATGGATTTGAAGGACAATGGGCCCTTTAATATTTTGACGTCCCAATCAGTCCTTTTTGGCATAGCCTCAGTGTATACTTTCGAATTACCGGAATCCACATGTACTCCTACTACCGTCATAGCCCACTGGAAATAACCAAAACCCTATTTAATTTTTCTTAATATTAAACATTTTTATCCATTTTTTCATTAAATTATAAAATAATTTTTAAATATTCATCCCGCTTGTCTTGTTTTAATTAAGTGAGAAAATTCGAACCTTTAACATTTTGGTCGATTCCCGTTTAATTATGCATTATACTTAGGAAAAAAGTCAATGAGAGAAAGAGACATAAATAAGGAAACACCTAATCCATAATAACATAACATAACAACAATTATCACAATTTAAAAATAAATCGTTTACAAACATCAGCAAGAAAAATAAAATAAATCGAGAAAAAAAAAAAGACAAGGATTCGACTCGACATCCTCTCATGTCGACTCGACTCCATCAATCAAACCTGAAAGAAGAAGAAGAAAAATCCAATAAGCCAATTGTTTAATATTAATAATAATTAAAGTCATATGTAAAGAATTTGATGCAAAATCCAGAGACTAATTTGTTGAAGGAAATTAAGAGAAAAAAGTAGATGACCTTATTTTTTTCTGGTTTCTAAAGGGAGCAAGTGTAGCCAGGAGGAGGGGTCTTCCCACATGTGATAAGGAGCTGAAGGGCAATGGGGACATAGATATTAAGGTTAAGAGCCTTAATCTTAAGGGTAGTGCAAAGGCAAACCGCCGCTTCCAACTCAGCCAGCCCTGAAATTATAGGGCAGCATGCATTGGCTGCAGGATCCCCTACCCCAATGTGCACCAGCCCTCCCAACAGATCCACACACCCACCCAGTTTCAGAGTGTCAATTGGACAGGTCTCTTTCCCCGGCGGCGTCGGGCAGGGATTCTTTCCCGGAGATGGGTTTTTGATGACCGGAGGAGCCGTCACTGGCGGCACGGTGACTGGAGGGATGGGGACTGGAGGGATTTTGATTGGGGGTTTGATGACGGGTGGGAGGTCGATAGGCGGTTTGACAGGAGGGAGGGGGACTGGAGGGATTTTGATTGGTGGTTTGACGACGGGTGGGAGGTCAATAGGCGGTTTCACGGGAGGGATAGGGACTGGAGGTATTTTGATTGGTGGTTTGACGATGGGAGGGAGGTCGATGGGCGGTTTCACGGGAGGGAGGGGGACGGGAGGGATTTTGATTGGGGGTTTGACGACGGGAGGGAGGGTGATGGGAGGGACAATGGGGCCCTTAGGGGACTTGGGCTTGACCTTCTTGGGAGGTGGTTTGCCGCAGGAGCCGCAGCCGAAAATGGGGGCGGCGGTGGAGAGGAAAAGCATGCAAACTAGAAGAACGGCGTGGATTTTTGAAGGCTCCATATTGGAGAGCTTTTGGGCTGAAGTGCGAGTGGAAGTGAAGGGTGCGAGCGGCAACTGGAGTTATATAGGAACAGTGAGGAAAACAACCCAAACAACAAATCACGTGAACATGGGAGGGAGACCCAAGCCTAACCCAACCCTGTTACAAATGACACCCCTTTACCGTCTAAATTAATAAAAATACTCTTAAAATTATTCTCATATCATGAAAAATTCATTAAAATAAATAAGAAAATAATATAGATATTAATTGAAAAATAAGATTACACGCAGATGACTGTTGAGCCGTACAAGGTAGGAAATTTTCAAGTACGATTTTAAGGGAAGGAATTTACCAGCCTATTCCGACCAGGGAGAACAGGCATATTAGGGTAATTAGGGTAAATTTATGGGTAGAAACCGTTGGACACTTAATGCTCTATCCCTCCAATGATTAAGCTATGGGGTGGTCTGTGTATAAAATATAGACTACACGCATATTTAATAATAACAATATATATATATATATATAATAAAAAATGAAACAAAATGACATGAAAAGTTGAACAATCCAGACCCAATAATAAATACCCTATGGATTTTTCCCAAATAAAGTTAGCAAATTAATGTCAACCAGCTCATCCATCCTCATTCCTTTTTTATCTTGGATCCGAAGGGTAAAACGCTTTCTTTCTCCTATTCACAATTTCTTATTAAAAAATGTTTTAATGTAAAAAATATATACGAGCCGTAAAGAACCAAGGATATTCAATCGCAGCTAATATGCATTCAATTGTAAATAGAACACTCGTTAATTGAACTTAGCCACCTATTTTCAACTAAACATAAAGCTTAACAAAAGTGTTACAATAAATATCTCATTCCAACGTCCAAATAAACACCAAAATTGGGGAGTGATTATAGAATTTGAGCTGTTTTGGCACAAAACTATATACTATATAGCCATTATGTTTAAAAAAACAAACTGCACTTTCATTGGCGGTGTTCTAATTTTGAAGTTGTTTGTGGTTTTGCTCCATTATGGGGTGTGAGAGATACAACACCAGCTAGCTACCAAGCATGTGGGGGGTGCCAATGCATGGTAGCTACAACAACACGACACACCGGTAGATGCATTTCGGGTTCCTATAATTTGGTTTAAATTTAATATTCATAGTTTTAAACGATAACCTCCATAACTCATGTTTAGCTTCAAATCTATATATATGGTTTGATCCAACATCACAAATCATACTGTCATTAATTATTATATTGAGATTTTGATCTCAAGAAAAAAAAAATGTAAAATGTTAATTATAGACTACATTTACTTTTCTGTTTCTAATAGGCATGAGTGAGATCTCACATTTCTTATAAAGGTGTGGAAACATCTCTCTAGTATATGCGTTTTAAAATTGTTAGGCTGACGGTGATATGTAACAGACGAAAGTTTATACAATATTTATTAGATTTATTAGTGGTAGGCATGAGGTATTACAAATGGTATCAAAGCTGGGCAGTTTGCGAGCAAAAATGCTAGGCCTCCAAGGGGGTGGATTAGGATATCTCATTGATTACAGGAGAGAACGAAACATTAGTTATAAGAATGTTGTGTGAAGGAAGAGAGGAGAGAGAAGGAGAAGGGGAAAGGGGGGCATGTGGGTGGGTGAGTGAGGTTAAAAGAGATGAAGCTGTATGGGGTTTTGTAGTGTTGTGGGATCCGTGATTTTGCTTTCCTCATTGGTGACGTTATTGTTCCTTTCTTTTCCTTTCTTCTCCTTTTACTTTTTTGTCCTTTGGATTTGCTTCTCTAGACCCATTCACATTCACAACATTCCCCTTCTTCAATCTATTATCATTACCAAAAACCCTTCCTTTTTATGTTTTTTCATCTTTGGCTAATGCTTGCTTTACTGGTACTTTTAGTTCGACCCTAAGTCGAGGTAGAAATTTGAATCTTAATATTTTAGATAAAAAGTACTTAATCAATTAAATTATACTTAGTTTTAAGCAGCTAGTTTTGTTTAATTTATATAAAAATAAACAAACGACCC